ACATGAGACTGAGCAAACTCCGGGAGGCAGTGAAGGACAGGAAGGCCTGGCGCGATATGGTTCATGGGGTCACGAAGAGTCAGACATGACTTAACAACTGAACAAAAAATATGGTCATAAATTTGATTATGAATAATTTTTTATTATTTTCTTCACCCTGAACAAATATACAAAATGAAGGCTACATTACAAGTTACAGATCTAATAGAGTTTGATAGAAAGGTGTAATACTCTGTCAGTGCTGGAGAACAACACACACAGATCAGTAGAGGCTATTATGGTTAATAAAAGAACAGATAATATTTCAGGATAAGATAGAACATCTTTCCCCCTGTCCCCCAAGCAGAACATAAGGATTGTCATTCAGTTCCAAAAGGGTGGGGGGGGAAGCATTACAGCATTTCCATTTAACTTGAAGTTGCCTTTTACAAACAGGAGCTAGTTCAATGAAATGGTATCACTTTACCTACTTTGTATGCCTCAACTCCAAGGGATTCATTATGGTTTACCATGCTAATGATAGGTGGATTATATAAATAGTGCCTGGTCCCACAACTTCTAATCAGCGGAAGAGTTATTGAGGAATAAAACCTCAGTCTAGCAGCCCCTTTTTAAATTTTTTTTTTCAACCTGCCTTTCTTATTTTTAGAAATAACTCAAGGCGGTGAACATACCTAATACTCCTTCCTCCTCCTATTTTCCCCACAACAACAACAACCCTGTGAGGTGAGTTAGGCTGAGAGAGAGTGACTGGCCCAAAGTCACCCAATGTTTCCAGACGTGAAAAAGTATGGGGCTGGAAGACTAAGAATCCATGCTTTATAATTCTTTTGCAAAAAAAAAAAGTTTGAAAAAGCACTTGAAATGCTAAGCCTTAAACATAAACAATGACAGTTCTCCACCATAATTTTCTACACAGGACTTACCCAGCCAAGCTGTGATATTCAAAGCAATTCTTTTAATGTTAAGAGTGAGCTTACAATACTATAATACCATGTGGCACTTTTACATTAAAGCACAAGGTAAGCCAATGACAAAACAGTAGATTAAGGCTACCTTTCAAAACTAACCCTATATTTACAAAGTGTTAAATTTCATTTCTCAAGAAGACATTCACAATAAATTAGCTCCACAGGCTCTCCTAACACATTAGAACAAGTATACAACTTATAATAATTATCACAGAACAGAAAGTTCCACCTCAAAGCTTTATATGCAGAAGATAAGACTTTTATACACCATATGCTTTCACACTCCATACACACAGAGACAATTCACAATAGTCTGGCATGCCAGTCCAACAGACATCCTCATAACATTTCTGAGCAAAAGGACCCACTTTTGATACATAGGTCAGAGCAAACACAGCACTGGCAGAGGTCTAATGTTATTAAGTACTATGAATATGGAGCCCAGCTGGCAATTCCGATGAAAAATACACACCTTTTCGAATTTGAGATCCATAGACTAACATCCCAGCAGCTGAGCCGGGATGGTGGGAGAAAGCCCCACAGCCCTGGGAAGCTGTTGGAATTGGCTTGTAAAAAAAAAGAGGGGAAGGGAAGGAAATATGCGTGTAGACACACGCACGCACACACGCACAGAGGCACCAGAGGGAGGGAAAAATAGAACAGTGTCATTCAAGGGCTTCACGAAAAAAAAAACGGGGAAGACTGCACCGCCCTCCCTCTTTCCCATCAGATCAATGGGACAAAGGGAAAGGGGGAGAGAGGCGAGAAAGGAAAGTCTGGGGGCTGCCTTTTCGAAAGGGTTTTCCAGAGAGGGCAGGGGAAGGACTCGAGCAGTCAGCGCGCCCTCCCTTTATCAACAAGAGGGGGTCCCCGCTGCGGCATCCCACCCCCCAGGAGTAGATGGGGAGAGGCGAGCGAGGAAAGAGTCGCCGCTCTCTTGCCCCGGGCCTCCGCGTCCTGTCAGGACCAGGAACCCGTCCAGCCTCCCAGAGCGGGAGGAAAGGGGAGCGGAGCCGCGGTGGCGGCTAGAAACTTTCTCTTTTTCCCGCCCCTTTTCCCGTCTTTCTCCCTCCCCACCTCGCTCGCGGGT